CCTGCACGCACTGCACTAGGTCACCCAACTGGTTTTGCCCCATGGCAGGAGGAACCATGGAGGGTTCTGTAAAGGTGGTGTTCACCGCAGGAGGGAATGGGGCGTTCACTACTTCGGCGACCTGGGGTAGGTCCAGCGTGGGGACCCCGAAGGTGTTGAGAGGCATAGTAAACTGACCGATACGCACGGTGGGAGCCTGAAGGTGCCCCCCAAAAGTGTTCATTTCGTTGTTCTGCCCGGCGTTGCTAGAAGACGCCATTAATGCTGGTGAAAGTTTGGTAGAGAAGGCTTTTCGAAGCGGTTCCCACATACGGCGCCAATTGATGATGCGCAATCCGACCACTCCTAGCTAGAAGTGACTGTGCTTCTAGCTAGCAACGGGCAGGAGATACTAGCGTGAAAAGAGACGAAGGAACCCAGGGTTGCTTACCCAGCGGGAACACTCCGATGCTTAAGTTAGTACTCGGCTGCAAATTGGAAGAGAACGAGTTTGCAAGAAGATGAGAAAGCTAGAGAGTGGTGAATATGTGATACCTTGGCCCCTGGGGGGTTGAAGTCTTTATATACTAACATTCTGGCAGGTTTGGAGGGGCTGATCCCAAATCTCTACCACGGCGATCTATTGTTAGGTAATGCCTCAGAGTGATTGGCTGTTATCGTTAGGACTGGGGAGCAGGTGGGTTAATGCGACCATTGTAGGGTACAGTCCTGCCAGACAGGAGACAATCTCCGGGTTTGGCAGGCACGATGCCGCCAGACGAGAGACAATGAGTGCAATCCTCAGAGTTGTCAGATACTGCGCCGTCAGACAAGAGACGTGGGAGCAGCCTTCGGGGTTTGGCAGGTACAATTGTCAGACAGGAAGCTTCTCGCGGGACACCGGGCTACTTGATAAAGAGCAGCCTTGTAGCGAGCTACCTGGTGGCAAGCTACTTGTGATGAACTGTTGGTGACGTGCTGAGGTGGTTCTGCCCGAGGTGAGCCGTCTCTGAGGCGGCTCACTTGCCTGGGTCTAGACTGCTGCGAACTTGATCATTTTAATTCGCGAACTGGGATGAATTCGTCCCGAAGTATCTTCAGCTTGGGACATTATCGTACCCGAGCTCACTCCATAGCGAGCTGATACTTGCTGAGTTTTCATCTACGTTGTCATGTCCACGTGCCGATCTGCTCATGTCGAGTTGTTCATGTTAAGTCACATACACGTGTCGCCTGATTATGAGGTCGGGCCAAATCACCCTTCATCATTACTTCAATAATATTTTATTTGTGTTTATTATTTAAAATTAATTAGTTATTATTCAATAAATAAGATGCTAGTATTTTATTATTACTTTAATTATAATATTATAATATTTGATTTGCACTTTATTATTATTATGATTATTGTCTAATAAATAATATCTTTGCCTTTACTATCACTTTCATAATATTTTATTATTTAATTTTTAATGTTTTATTTTTATTTCATGAATTGTTTATTAATATTGTATTATTATTATTGTATTATTAATTTAGTTGTATTGTATTCATATTTTATTTGTACTTTATTATTATTATATTTAATAAATAATATTTTTGTTTATTATTATTAATTTATTAATTTTTTATTATAGTACTATTATTTTAATACTATGGTTTGGGGGGTTTGTCATGAGTTCTTGACTTCTTAAAAGACTAGAATGGGGTGGGGTGGGGGGGTTTGGATTGGCCATTGGGGGAATCCCATCTTGCCAAGTATGGGAATTAGAATCCCTTTCCTTCCAAACAAAGAGTAGGAATCATAACTGACCATTCCAATTCCAAGCACCTCTAGGTGAGGCATTGAACCCATACTACTTTATATGGGAATAATTGTATTTATGGGCCCTTTGATAATCTATACTACTTTAAAACGCATGAATAGCCTCAGTAATATTTCTGAAATTTTTTAGGACAAAATTTACCCTTCCATATTTAAATTTATTGATAAAAATGAGGGCAAAAGGTTAATCGATTAATAATATTAAATGAGTTGAAAAGATACAATTATAAGATATTCAATTTCTTCTCATTAAATCAAACACTTAAGGTATTAATTTGCATTCACCTTCATTGAATCATATATTTAAGGCATTTTGATTTCTTCTCATCATTAAATTCTATTAATTAAATTCATACATAATAAATTAATAATTCCAATAACATAAAAACATATTTTTATAATCTACCTGAAAAAATAGTTTTTTCATCTAGACAGTGGTAGGAAATTAAACCATTTCGAGTCAAATGGGCCAATCCATGCTATCACAATTAAACAATAAAAAGATAAAATAGATAAAATGAAAAAAAAATATAGAAATTAAAAAATTTGAAAACATTTTTAACATCATATATTCAACATGTTAAACAATAATAAGTATGATAAATAAGAAATAATTTTATTAATGAGGGAAATGGAATGTAAAATTTAAAACCAATTAGAAATAAAACTATTTTCCTATTCTCTCTCATTAAATCTCATGTTAAGGTATATTCTTTTATTAAATCCACAAAATTAATTTTAATATTATGAAAATAAATATTTTGAAAAAATAATTTGAAAACAAAATAATTTTCTTCCCTCCCAATGGTGGGTAAACAATTCAACCATTTTGGGTCAAATGGGTTAATAAATAATGTCATAATTAAATAAAAAAAAATTAAAATATATAAAATATATAATACAAAAAATAAAAGAATTGGATATATCTTCATTATACTAAATAAAAATACGTATGAAATGTAAGAAGTAATTTTATTAATGTTGAAAATGGAATGCCAAAGTTAAAATCAACCTATAAATGAAATGATGTCATAGTCAAATAATAAATTTTTTTAAAAATAGAAAATATAAATAATAACAAAAATTAAAATAGAAAAAATTTGGGAACATACCTAATGTTATATATTCATAAAAATAAATATTGGGTACATTTCTATTATTATGCATTCATTATCAATGATGAAAATGTAATATAAAATTTAGTGTACCTAGAAATCAAATTATTTTCCTTTTTGGGTTGTAGGTTAGTGGTTTGGGTCAAATGCATTAACCAATGATATGATAGTTAAATAATAAATCTTTAAAAAATAAAAAAGTACAAGTAATCAAAAGAATATATAAGAAATTAATTAATTATGTCGAACAAAAATTAAGTATGATAAGTAAAAATTATTTATATGATATAGATGAAAGTAAAGTTATTTTCTTACCTAGATGGTAGGTCAATGAGCCAATTTTTCAAAGAAACTCATGATGCCATAATTGAATAATAAATATTTTAAAAAAGATAGAACACAAACAATGAAAAAGTACAAAATTCTGTCGCATTTGAGAACATTTACAATGTTATATATTCATCATAATAAATAAAAATATTTGTTAAAATAAAATTTATTTTTATTTATGGCAAAAAATGGAATAAAAAACTAATAATAATAATAGTAATAGTAATAATAATTATTATTATAATTTAAAATTTTCACATACAATGTGCGTATACATTTACTACAAGCATTTAAGTTTATTTTTAATCATATTCTTACTTTTGTTAGTTTTCATTTTTTATCTTAATTATAATATATCTAAAATTTAAGTAATTAATATAAAAAAATTTTTCACATGTAATGCACATGCTTAATTATTAATAGCTAAAGTGGCTGAATCGAATAACTTATTATTTTTTTCTGAAGTCCAGTGAGATAGTTATTATTTTATTGCTTCATCTATTTTTAAACAACCCCTTTATTTTTAAGGAGGGGAGGCCTATGTAGGAGGGTTTGCTAATTTTAGTGCCCATCTGGAAGGGGTTTTCAGGGTTCCGAATCTCCTACTCACAAAATCTCTACCCACCTGTACTCACAATTGTACATTTAGAACACCTCTCGGGTGTGGGTAGGCATTCTAAATGTACAGCTGTAGTATAATGTGGGTAGGAGATTTGAATTGGGGTTTTCGGGCAACGGCTTTTGGCTTTAAGAGGTGGACCCCACATAAAAGCCCCTAAAGCCATATTTGGTGAGAGTCTGAAAAGCCCATATTAGTTTTCAGTTTTCAGCTTGTTAAACGACTCTCACATGAGTAGTCTATTTGAAACTCTGTTGGGCAATTCAACCTGTAGTACAAGCATATCCTTGAACTTTTTACAAATTACATTTAAAATCTGAATCTAATTATATTATAATAGGTATTGATTAATATATAAAATTTATATAATTATATTTAAAATTATAAAAGATAATGAATTTATATTTAAAATTTATATATTATATTATATTATATATAAATTTATATTTGGATTACTTTATTATATATAAAAATTGAAAAGTAATTAACTTTTTAATTTAGTTTGCATTTTTAAAAAATTACAGTGGAATTATATAAAATTTGAGAGTTCATTTGGTTCATAGTCGGAATCGGAATCCTCTGGAATCGGAATGGTCCATTTCTATAGTCTATTTGGTACAAACAAGAATGTAAATGAAAATTAAAATCAGTAGAATTGGGATTTCATTCTCAAGGGAGGGTAAGGAGCGCCATTTCAACAGGAATAAAAATAGAATTTTAATTCCATTCAACCAAACAGTTAGAATCAAAATAGCCCATTCGGATTCCAATTCCAGACCCCTATTCTCACGAACGAAACGGGGCCTGAATCCATTAAGATTTGAATTCGAATCCTAGGTATTCGAACTTTACGGAACACGGTCCGAATCCGATCCGATTACAGCCTAGATTATATTAGACGACGATATCGCGTGGCGTGACTCGTCCAAAGCCCATGATTCGGCGTCTGAACAATTCAGAGATTTCATATATAAGAGACACTATGGTCCATGGATCGTCCAACGATGATATCGTGATACGACGACAAGTGTCAGGCCCAGGTCCATAGGGGCCCATTACCCAATGCTGTCGTGGACATTATACATTTAGGAAAATCCTACAGTGTGACTTGGCAGATTTCCACAGGTAGAGAGATGATCTCTGGAAGGGAAGGTGGGGGGGCCAACGGCTAACTGAGAATTTCCCTCCACACATTCTCCGGGCCTTATCTTTCGGTGTCCAGTCCCTCCCAAACCCACCAGAATGCAGTCATCACATCAGTCGAAGCCCAGCCACCATCTAACCCCTTTTCCCGCCTCAAATCACCAAATCCAGTACTACTACTTACTAATACTCTTTTCTTCCACACCACCACCACTACCTCCTCTCCTCCTCCACTCTTTCATCGTCGTTGTCGTTAGAGATGGTTACCGCATTAGGCTTTACTCTCACTTCTCCTCGGCTCTTCTTTACCCAGCTCCGTCGACCCTTCGTTTCCTCTCCGCGAGATCACTTTTCTCAGTTCACAGCGCATCATAGGTCGTCGATTCCATTTACCAGCTTTCGGTTGTCGCCTCGTCACCGGCTTTTCATACTTCCTCCTAAGGCCGCTGATCAGCAAGGTTAGCTTCTTGGTTCTATTGAAAATATGGATTTTACGTATCGCTCACCAATCTCAACAGAACTTGATGACCTGGGGTTAGTAGCTATGGACTCAAAACATTAACACGAGTCACTTCCCTTCCCGATGTGTATTTGAATCTTGTCACTGTTATGTATTCAAGGTCATTGCAGTTCTATCTGGAACGATCTTGATGCTTGATAATTTAAGTAGTGTGATACTTGAAAAAAGAAAACAATCGGAAAACGTTCAGATCATTGGATGCCTCCTAGGGATCACTCCTCCAAGTTAAACTTCACATGCAATTTCTGCCTTAAAATATCTACCTTAATTTAGCCAACAAGCCCTTGTTTTCCCCTGGATATTCATAGAAACCTCGTCCTTGATTTCTACTGACGATATTTTAGCCATTTGTCTATTAATCCAATATCAGTCTTACCCTACCAGTGGTTATGACCTATCAAGATAAATCCATAGACAAACTAAAAAATAATGATAATGGAGGGGCAAGGGAATATTGATCCATGACAATCAGCTAACGGTTCTTACATTGGCAACCTCCTTCTTCTAAGGCATATCATTATCTTTCTGAAGAGGGTTTTTTTAATTTTATTATAGCCCCAGTATTGGTGATTGAGCAGCCACTTTGTGCAAGAAAATGCCAATGGTTAATTCTGTATCCAATCCACCCCTCCCGAATCACAGATAACTGAGACCAACATTGGGTGGTGGCCTTTTTTCCATTGATTAGTTATTGTTTATTATGTTTAGGGATCGATAGTGTTTGGCCTGCCAGTTATTAAATTCACTTTCTATTTTGTGATTAAGTGATAGTATCTGGCTAGGCTCAGATAACTCCGCCAGTGTGAGCTTGTCTTACTCCATTGGTCCCCAAGTGCAATCCAAACCAAAGATTCTGGAAGTTTTCATATCTGGTTAGTTAAGTCCACAAGTGCTATACCATACTGCTTCTTGGAAGAGTTCTTTTCAGTCTCCATCTTAAAAGCTGTTATATATTTCTGATTTTCTGTATTATACATACACACATAGAGCTGTACCGGATCTTCCAATTAAGATTGTTACATTATTGGATGTAACTTGCTTATCATTTTTTAGTTTTAGTGATGTAGCACCGGTATAGTGAATCTTAAAGTCATTTTATTTCTAACTTGTACAGTTAGTAGATGGTCTTCTGTGTCTCTTGGTTTCTTTGTATGCTCCATCACATGCCCTCATTTTCTTTGCATCTTTTCTATTCTTTTAGGTGGATTTTATGGAAGTTAATTCACTGACTCCGGATTTCTTTCCAGGCCAGGCCACAGAAGATGAGGTTGTTGACAGTAAAATTTTGCCATACTGTAGCATAGACAAAAAAGAAAAGAAGACATTGGGGGAAATGGAACAAGACTTTCTTCAAGCACTGCAAGTACTGAAAAGATATTCCTTTTTTTCTTAATAACAAAGTAATTTCCAAAAGGAGAAGAATTTCTTGTACACTTAATCTAACTCACAGTCAGCACTCTTAGCCAACAATGTTTGAAATTGATGCTCAATCTTTCTTGTATTTATTTATTATAATGCTTCCTAAATTTATTTTAACATCCATCTATGTAAGAAATATTAACTTTTATTCTTTCTGTCTAATTCAGTCATTCTATTACGAGGGAAAAGCTACCATGTCAAATGAGGAATTTGATAATCTCAAGGAAGAACTAATGTGGGAAGGAAGCAGCGTTGTCATGCTGAGTATGAATTATATTTCATGGAGCCTAAATCTAATCATGATTCTGTTTTTTAGTCTAATTGCTTGTGTAAGGTTATTTCTTCTACTAATAGTTGAAGATTTTCATACAGTTCCTTTTGCATGACATTGTTAGCTTATATGCACTACAGGTTCAGATGAGCAGAAGTTTTTGGAAGCTTCAATGGCTTATGTTTCTGGAAAACCAATTATGACAGATGAAGAATTTGACAAATTAAAGCTGAAACTTAAGGTTTGTTCAGTGTTAATTTCATTTACAACAGCTGCTATTAAATATTTAATGAGCTTAGTTGGAAGCTAGCTGAAAAGCATCAAAATAGCAGTGGGTTCTCAAAAGTTTTGAATCCACTCCTTTGAGAAGGTGACAATTTACCTTTTTTAAGTATGTAAATTGATTATTGGCTATGGAATTATTCTATTGTAAACAGATTGTGTATTCAACATATCACAGATATGGTTTATTTATTTAAGTATGGAGAACTTGCATAAATAGTTAGACTTTCTATTAGAATATCCGAAGGAGAGCACTTGGGCAACATGGACATTCTGCAACATGCACAACCTACCATCTAGGTGGGATCTGCATAGTAGAGTTCATCATGCACTATACCACTGGATGGTGGGATGTTCACGATGCAGTGATATCTTCTCCACATGGTTTTAAAAGGCATAAACCTTGAGGTGCAGTGTGTGCACATTGAGCAAGGCACACAAAAGCTGCTTTGAGGCTTAAGCCTCAATGTCCTTGTTTGAGGCTTAGGCCCTTTTCAGACAAGGTGGACGCCTCATGCCACAAGGCATGAGCCTATAAGAGGCATAAGCCTCAAAGTTAGTGATCCTAGATGTCTTTTCTAATTTTTTATATTTCTTTAAAAGCTCAACATATATAGGATTGGTTATTTTGGTCAATTGACAATACTGACTAAATAATGCCAAACAACTACATAAAGACATGTCTAGTGTCCAAATGTATTTCAATTTGTGTCGTTGTTTTACTGGTTTATGTATCTATAGCTATACATAATTTATTCAACATTTCTCTGTGTTTATAAATATATAAACCAATTTTCTCTTATAGTTTGTAATTTTCCTTTTTAAATTGTAATGTATATTATGTATTTTTTGTTAATTATTTCTGTATAACTTGTAAATCTTGTCATTTTCTATACTTCTATTTTTATTTATGTTTTTCTTTATAAATTATAATCTGTCAGTGTCTACATACTTGTTCAATTTGCATGTATGAATTTATATCCTATCATTTTATTGCTTGTCTATTATTGTTTTATAATTTATCAATTTGTATGCTTATCGAAAAAAATTCAATTTGTATATATCAATATTTACTGTTTCCATTTTTCTTTATATTGTATTATGTTTCATTTGTTTCTATATGTTTATTTAATTTGTATTTGCACATGTATTGGCATTATCTTTTAGTGTGTCTACTCGGGTGGAAGTAGTAAGAAATGATTTAAGTGCCCATAATTTGACAATGGATATGGCTCTGAGCAGAACTGAATGGTGAAACAGGACTCATGATGGCCAATCTCAATATAGTTGGGACACCTCAACACACCTTGAGGCTTATGCTCAACTACTTCTTTATCCTTTTAAAACCTTGCTATTCCACCTTATTATTTTCCATATTCGAAAATATATTCAGTTCCTGGTTACAGGGTGATGTTGATGTGTATGTTAACCAGTAACAAGTAACTTAAAGTGCCATACCCGAATTGCAGCCCTGCTGCAACTGGGTAGCATAGGCATGCGTGTGATTGCTCATTGAGGGAGATGTCTGTGCATTTATTGTTCAAACGTATATTCAAATATAAGAAATTTCGTTAATACTTGGTTTCATGCTTATAAGGCCTTCTGTTTTAGCAAAGAAAAGGACATAGCAGTAGAGATTGCATTTCTGAATATGACATTATTTTTTTCTATTTTACATTTTCATGGTATTTCTATTTATTTTTTCTTGCTCATAATCATTTGGTAGATAGAAGGGAGTCAAATCGTAGTTGAGGGTCCACGTTGCAGTCTCCGTAGTAGAAAGGTATGTCTTTAATGCCTGCTTTATTTTTTGGATCTGTATTTGGCTAATATTTCATGCTTTTCATTTAAAATATTTACTACTGGCATCATGTTATATTATCAAGAATTAACTACTTGTGTGAACAGTGGAAGGAAGCAAACCTGTTAAGTATTGCACATTATAAATTAATATGGAAAACCAAAATGAAGTAGAACCATCCATGTAGTTGAAGGTCAGGTTGGTCAATCCAAGAGATTACTTGGCTAAAGATTCTCTTTATATCATGATGGTTAATCTAAAATGTAGAAATTGGTGATAGCATCTCACATCACCATAGTCAAGGCGGCAAGAGGTGATTTAGTCATTTTGGCCTTCCAGGAGAAATTTCATCTAGTTTATACTGAGATAATGATTAGTCAACCTGAATACTGTATGTGCTAAATTTAAAAATGATGATTATATATGCTGATAAAACTACAAATTTGCATTTCACTTCTTGTTGAAGATATGGTTTCATATGTTTAAACTCTTTGGGCTTGGGTGATCCTACCAAATTTAAGCTTAGTCTGTCAAGAGCATGTGGTGAGATATAATGGAACAGGTCCCTTTTGTTACATGTTGGAGTATTTGGAAGGAGCATGTTGGTCAGATCTTTGAGGAGATTGGTAATCCTTTACACAAAGTTATTAGGTAATGGTCAGGACATCCTTGATTGTATGATTAAAAGAAAATAACTTCTAAGGATGTCTTTTGTCATGGAAGTTTATGTTGTCCTACATGAACCATATCATATTAGCCTAGAGAGAGACAATTTGGAACTTGGAGTGATTTTTATGTATTCTCAGCACATGAAAATCTTTTGGATTTACTAACACAGACGCATTCTATAATCCAAAGTGCCACAGACATATGGAAACTTTAAAAGGAAATTGCACTTCTTACAAATGGATGGAGGTTGAATCATACAAATAAACATAAGCTGAAAATGGAAGACAGGGCTTCTTGTGTTGAACTCTGAGCTTCAGTGCATTAGGGTGCAGGTGCTAAGACACATTATTCTGTGATCTGAATGAGAGTCAGCTCTTCTACACAAAGCTGCAATGTGGCATTTACTGGGGTAGAGAACCACAATTACACCATAATGCAGGATATCTGATGGGAACCATTTTGGTTTACTTTACTGTTATCAATGCATGAGCTATCATAACCCTGCACCAAGGCACCAAGGTGCTAGACTGGTGCCTTGCCACTGTTTGCTGGAGAACAGCAGCCAAAGAAGAAGAAGAAAAAAGGAGATCCGAGAATGGCGGCTTAGTCACTTAAGCCGGCCCTAGAATCTTATATAAGTATTCACAATGTAATGTTACAAGAAAGGACTAGAATGCCCCTGATTAGTGATGGGACACCTAAACATAAAAGGAATAAAACAAGTTTAGGCCCAATAACTAAGGCCCATAATAAGCTCAAGAACTTAAAACATAAATAAGACTAATATAAACACTAAACCAATTGAACCAACACTCCCCCTTAAGCTAAGCATGGATGTCAGTCATGTTTAGCTTGCCAAGTAAGTCTAAGAATTTCATTGAAGCTAGTCCTTTTGTTAGCACATCTGCAATCTGCATCTCGGAAGGAGTATAGGGAATGCAAAGTTCCCCTGAGACTATCCTTTCTCTAACGAAGTGTCGGTCAATCTCAATATGCTTCGTCCTATCATGTTGCACTGGGTTATTTGCAATGTTGATGGCAGCCTTGTTATCACAATACAGCCTGAGAGGACACTCGACCCTTATCCCGAGCTCACCAAGAAGGGTCCTAAGCCACAACAGTTCAGCAACACCATGAGCCATAGCTCGATATTCAACCTCTACACTTGATCTAGCAACCACATTATGCTTTTTACTTCGCCATGTAACCAAATTCCCTCCAACGAATGTGCAATACCCAGAAGTAGACTTCCTGTCTCCAACAGAACCAGCCCAATCTGCATCAGTATACGTTTCAATTTCAATTTTATTGTGTTTTTTGAACAAAATTCCTTTTCCTGGGCAAGTCTTCAAATACCTAAGAATCCTTTCCGTTGCTCTCATATGAGGAATCTTTGGAGAGTGCATGAACTGGCTGATAACATGTACGACATAAGCAATATCTGGTCGAGTGAGAGACAAATACATCAAATTCCCTACCAGTTTTTGTTATCTCTCCTTATCAAAGTAGTCCTCTCCAACTGATTTTTGTAGAAAATGATTATGTTCTTTTGCAGTATCCGTTGGTCTACTCTCCATCATACCTGTCTCCTCTAGAAGATCAATGGCATACTTCTGTTGACATATATAAATGCCCTCTTGTGACCTAGCAACTTCAATTCCAATGAAGTATCTCAAATGGCCTAAGTCTTTGATCTCAAACTCAGATGCCAAGAACTCCTTCAATCGTTTTATCTCTTCTAGATCATTCCCTGTAATCACCATATTATCCACATAGACGATGAGTGCCGTAAGTCTGCTATCCTGTTTCCTTATGAACAAAGTATGATCTTGTTATGGGCCCGCGAATAGGATCTCGTCATGATCGGTCCACTGGGAAAACCTCATGTTTTCCCTTGTTCCTCCCTTTCCTTGAAGAACCTATCTTGCCGCCCTAAAAGGTGATTTGTTCAAGAGATCACCAACTCTCCTTTGCTCTCTTTCTTGACTGAAATTTTCGATATCCTCATTCAATAATGGTGTCTCCTTAAATAGGAGATTACAAGAGTCTTAATCTTAGGGAGTCTCCTTGCTGAAT